GGCTCTCTCAGCTGCCAACCTCTCTCGTTCCAACTCAGCTTCTTTTTCCGCTTTGGCTCTTTCGACCGCCAGCCTTTCTTTTTCCAGCTCAGCTGCCTTTTCTTCTTTTGCCCTCTTTTTTTCTTTTTTTTCCTTCTGGATGACCCACTTCCGTAGTTCGGCGCCAGAAAGCCCCATCTTCTCACCAAGAGCGACTAACTTTTCGAGATCCATTGGGTCTCGCAAATAAAACCTTGCCGTGTGCAAAAAATATCTGCCTAAATCAGTCTATCGGAACACTCCCCTGCACTCGTTGACGAGAACACTGAACAACACACAAAATCGTTCCGATAGCACTATCAACACTCGAGGCTCTTTCTCACTACTTTGGACACACTGTGCACCAAAAGGTCCTGTGTCGCGGACGCCAGATTAATTGTCACACACAGGTCCCGTTAATTAGGGAGGCGATCGCCGGGCTAATTCCAAGGGCCGAAATATCGGCCCCCCGAACCGCACCACGAAAGCGTGGACAATTTAGAAGTGGTCCTTTTTTGGCGTGCCAGCGGACGCCGGCTGTGGTCCAAAGAACAAGTCAGAGCCGAGAGTTGATAAACAAACAAAATTATATTCTCAATAAGGGCAGATCGATACAATACACAAGAATGCCCACTCCACAATAGTTGCATACAATATGTCACCAATCAAACAACGTACTACACAGTACAATCAGCCACACTCGAAACAACGAACACAGACAACAATACGCACTACAATGCAGTCGCATGCATTGAACAACCAAGACACTTATAGACTAAAGAGATAAAAAACCTATTCAGTCCAAAGTTCTTGGAACCAAAGTCTAGATGATACTCTTCCGAGAATCACTCACTCAAAGTCCAGCGTTGTTGTCGTTCCGCAGCCCCTGAAGTTTCTCTTCCAGGAAACCTCGCGTCTTCACTTGGCTACTCTCCAAGCTTCAACCTTCCTTGTCGGAAACACGTCGGCTTTACACACGCACCTGTTGCCACGCGTCTTCGCTCGATAGCGGTAGACACACGCTCTTGCCTGTAGCTCGAGCCTTCACCCCTCAGGTGGAAATCCTCTTCATCTCCTGCTTTGTCCCTACGGACAAAACCTTCGCCGACTACATGGCGGAATCCCTACGCGCTCTGGCGCTAACTTCCGTCTTCTCCTCCGAAGTTTCTCTTCCAGGAAACCTCACGTCTTCTCCTGCTTTGTCCCTACGGACAAAACCTTCGCCGACTACACGGCGGGATACCTTACGCGCTCTGGCGCTAACTTCCATCTTCTCCTCATCTCTCATCTCCGCTGCTCGGTTAAATATCTACTGTGCGAGATTCCAGAAGGTTTTCGTCATTTCGTCGGCGCGATACGCAGCGAAGGCTGGGGAGAGGGCGAGACGGTTGGAATGCCCTCCGCGATGGATGACTCAACCCGGCGTGACCACGCCTCTTTCGTTCTAGAAATTTCGCGGGCTTGCTCGGCCGCCGATGTGGGGTGAGGAGGTTCGTCGGCGAAGCCACGCTTCCGAGGGGAGAGCGCGCGCCCAGGGAGCCTTGGATGTTTGTTTTCTTTTTTCTTTTTTTTGACATCCCGGCGTCTCTCCCGCGCGTTATCGCAAGAATTTGGCGGCGCGCTCATTTTTAGCGCTCGTTCCGTGACAACACGTCACATCTGAGACAAATTCTAAATAGAAAATTTACGTCACTCTGAAATCATAGCGACCCGGAAGCTGCGTTCGTGTTTTTATGAGCACGCAGGCAAGTTGCTTAAGAGGCGCGGACGAGCATGGGATGAATACGTCTTGCGAAGGCAGCGCAACTTTAATGCGTACTACTAACGCAGGCCTGCATGTACAGTTTTAAGGAGTCATATCTTTTACTATAATGCAGCAAATATTAGTTCAATGCTAACAGAAAAATTGTTCACTGCATACACTATTTTGCAGTCTCTGACAGGCCAGCTCGGATAATTCAAGTTTCAGCCACGAGGTGGCGTTACAGGCTATCTTCGCGATTTTCAATGAAGAAATAAAATTTAACTCCACCTTTCCGATAAATATCTTCTGTGCGAGGTTCCAGAAAAATATGGTTGGTTTCAGTCACTATATAGAGACTATCTTTCCTTCCATGCAGTCATTTTATTTCATGTTCTGGGCAGTTGTCGGTCTCTAACGCAAAAACGCACAACTAAGTATATGTCACGGACGGTGGTGCAGCCAGGGGGCACCACATGTGGCCCGTGCCTCTCCCCACAAAACAACTGAAATATTTTGTCGTGGTATACAGAAAGAAAAATGGCTATTTCAAAGATTTGAACCCCTTCCCGAAAAATATTTCTGCCTCCGCCCATGGACATGGATGAATATGTCGCAATCTGTTATAAGTGGTAGGCCTAACTGCGATGTGCGTAGATGCAGGAGGTGAGAATATGCGATTGCAACTTGTTTACTCATTCTGCTTCGAAGCGCTATACCTAAGATAAACAACTCGGGGAGTAATAGGTGCTTCCCCACTGCGTCATACATTTTTCTTTTTTTAAGACCACATAACGTTACACGCACATAAATGAAGCCAACAAGGTGCTATATTCCCAGACAACTTTTTTTTTCGGAACGCAGTGACGGCTACAGTGATATACCGCACGTATCCTACCCACTCGCCGAATTTCGTGCCGACCAGTTGTGCCCCCGTGATCTCCGACGACAGCGCAGCTCTGGCCGACTGGCTTGCCCTACGCCATCTCCTGGCGCCGACAAGAGCTCTCGCTGAGTGGTACCCCGTCCTCGGACTTCTGCGACCGCGTCCATCTTTCCAATCTTCTCTCTACTTCCGTATCTGGCTGTCCCTGCGCCTCTCTCTCGTTCTGCTCCTCTCTCTATCTCTATACCTTTATTTCCATTTTTTTTTGCATTCTTACCCCCATCCCTCGTGAGGTACTGTTGAGGTATCCTCCCCCGGAGGAGGCAGTTACGGGCTCGCATTTATCTTCTTTTTATTCAAGAATAAGCTCCCCCAGCATTGAATGTAGTCCGACAATTTTGTCGTTATTTTTTTGTGAGATAAGAAAAATACCACCTTAAATTTTCGCACGTAGCTCTTGAGACAGGATGCAGCTCACATCAGTAAGATTTTCGTATTTGTTTTAATTTATACGTTGTCACTTCGCCTTTTTGCACGAATTGGCAAGCCGTATCTTTTACGTGTATTCCTAACGCCAAGTGGCATCGCGGTCAATACGAAACGCTGATCGCGTGCAGCCATCCCTTTCCATACCAGTACGGAATGCGTGCCATATCGGACTACTTCGCGTAGTAGTATACCCGTGCAGAAGCCCCGTCCCCGTAGCTTTCCCTTCATTGCCAAGAAAGGTTGTCCGCGATTATAGCAAATGCAGAGGGGCGTCGTATATACGTTTGTTTTTTGTGTTTTTATGATGCTAAGGGTACTCTTTCCGCCTTCTAAACCTTGAGGTATTTCATCTGAGACTCCTGGTACACCACGAACGCACGGCTACACATCCACTTTGGAGCTCTGTGCACGAACACGTAGCCTTCAGTGGGGTGTATATAATTTCTCATTGTTTGCAAGAGCATAGCTTGGAAAGCTCCCTGAGACCAGTGCACCTGGTGCGTGGGCAAAAAAGATGACGCAAACGACAACTGAACCACTGATACTGAAGTTAATATACGATGGCCGTTCGTTAGCGGTTAATATCCTTTCGTAAGTATCTGATTGCGACCCCACCAAAAATTATAGGTGCATTAAGTGGAGACCTGAGCCGAGTATCGTTAAGAAAAATTCGCATATACGTCTCATGCGTTGTCAACAATGCCAATGCGAAAGCATAATAAGGACTCGCTTGAAGGTTGTTTCACAATTTTGTTCCTGCTACTTCCGTTACCTTTTTAGTGACCCTAATTTTAGTTACTTGAATTACGCTATTTTAATTTGTCAATCTTCTCCGTATTCAGTGAGATTCCATTCACTCGTCACCAATGATAATAAAATTATGATGAAAGAAAGTGAATGTACTCGAGTACAGAATTCCCTCAACTTAGTTCCAGCAAAAAAAATGGAGTCGCTTATGCCTCCTGCACTTGAGAAATTGTCACAAACGCGTGCTTCACCAAGGAAGCAACTGCCGCCTTCAAACGACAGCACAAAATTACGGCGTCAACACAACCGGCACCTCGACGACAGCAACAATCACTTCTTGAAAGCGCACCCCCTGGGGAGAAAAAAAGCAGTCGAGACAGCAAGCTCTCACGCCAAGACCGCAATCGTCAAGAATCGAGACACGATTTCATGTTGAGCAAAGCCGCCGCAGTAGACGCGCCTGCAGTACCGAGAAGAACATTCATCAGAAAACTCACTCTTTTTTTTTTGTTCAAGCCTCCACTGTGCGGTGAGCAGATGAATCACCTCGAAACTTCGCTAACCCGTGCGGACTCAAAATAAGCGCAGGGCGACAGTAGTTCTTGGGTCAGGGAAAAAGGAAGTGTGTGGTTCGGTCCGCCAGTGAGGACGACTTAAGTTATAGTGTAGTACCGTCAGTCGGTCTTTGAATAAGGGCTAAGAAATTACGCCATGCGATCAGTGAAGTGTTTTGGAGAGTGTCACTGAGGAGAGATATGCGATCACTAAATGCCTCAGAGGAACCGCTTGGTCAGCGCTTTGATCTACACAAAGGTACTCGTCAAGCCAATGAATATACAAATACTCTAAGTACTTTTGGATATTATCGAGTGCTTCTCTTTCAGTTTGACTAAATTGTTTCTTCTCCGTTGCTGCTAAGCTCACCTGAGTTCTATAGGGATTGAACCAGCGAAGTCGCTATGGCTGTGTGATGTTTGTACTGCCTTCCCTTAGAATGTATTGTTCTTGCGTTATCAACTATTGGCTCTGACTCGGTCTTTGGATCACAACCACCTACGTTCACTGGGGCGCTAAAAGGATCTGCTCTTGAATGGTCCGTGCTTTCGTGATGCGTTTCAGAGGGCCGATATGCCAGCCCTAGGAATATGCCTGGTGATTGCCTCCCAGAAACGGGGTTTTGACGGGTGGGCACTATGTCTGCGCTGACGGCACCCAAAACGAGTATCTTCTTCATATTTAAGGCAACCAACTATTAGCAGATAAATTTAATCAAATTCAGTTAATGCTTAGTTTTTTTTCAGTGGAGAGGGAAGGAGATGCCACACAAGACGCGCTGCATTGAACATCTTGAAGGCGTGGTTGTCCCTTTTGCCCTTTGTGGATAGATGCGGACATGGTACAGTTGAGATTATTTGCACAATGTTAATACAGGTGCAGAACACTGCGCATCGGTAAAACAAAAATCTGAACGTTTGCCATGTAGACGCTTCAAACAGAGGAAAAAAACAGTAATTACCAAAATACAATTTTGTAATGGATTATTACATATTAAAACGAAAGTATAAACCATTTTAAAGTCACCATATAGAACGATTGCCATCAAGACGTGTGAAATTGAGATTTTTATTAATATTCTTGGAATACATCTTGAAAAGCATTTATGGTAGTAATAGTCGAATAAATCACACTGTTTAACGCTAATTCACCGAGTGTTTGAAGGGTGAAGTGTAGCTTCTACCCTCCATAATGCTACCCATTGATAATTAAGGTGTCATAATCGCCGTCGTTCAGTCATAATCGTCACATTATTGCAGTCGCATACTTCTCGTTACAAACTTGTACGCGCATCACACACGTGTTTGTTATGCCCTCACCGTCTCAGTATTGTATCTGGTGGTATAATATGGTATTTACAAATATTCATACAACTTTTTCAAAGTATAGTCACACAGAGGCGCTTCCAAATCCATGTGTTTAGCTTAATTCCTAAATGAGAAAATATGCGTGCATTTTGGTGTGACATTTTTCATTCTTTTTATTATAACAATGTCATAAACATGCACATCAATGAGAAGTTGTTGGGCGAGGTGGAGATTACGTAACATGGTGAATTTATCGCTACAAAACACGTACACATGTGAGAGACAGATAATAACTAGGCGCCTGTCTGTCGTATGTCTCTCACCTGTGTACGCTTTTTGCAGCGCTAAAATAATCATGTTGTGTAGATTAACTTCGTAAGCCTTCGTAGTCAATAGCCTGGGTAAACAATGCGCTCATGGTAATGCAGGGTGTACAAGAAGCAGAGTCCCAACAGCCGACTGACGCTGTACCTGAGCACACGAGAGTTCGTGCACGCGCCAAGCCAGGCCAGTGTGAGTGCCATAGATGGCGTCGTGCTAGTGGACCCAACGTACCTCAAAGATCGGCGCGTCTACGCCATGGTGCTGCTTACATTTCGCTATGGACGAGAAGACGAGGAGGTCATGGGACTCAAGTTTTTTACCGAGGCCATTCTGGACTTTAAGCAGGTATTTATATCGGCAATCCAACAACATTCTGAATTTTTCTCGGAGTGCCTGTTTCGTGAAAAACGCCTTCTTGGAAAACTGTTTATTTATTTCTCCAAGGAATATATGTATATACGCTTATGTGTTACCTTCAGGCTCCACTGTCCTCAAAGACATCATGAGAAAAGAAAAAAAAGGACGATTACATTTAACTTTTAAAAGTGCATGGAGTGTTGCTATCGAAGGCCAATTGTTTGTTTTTTTATTAATTTTATGTGGGGTTTAATGGCCTGAAACCACGATATAATTAATAAAAACACCACAGTGGTGGACTCCGGCAATTTTGACCGCCTGGGGTTCTTTACCCTGCACCCTAATCTGAGCACATGGGCCTACAGCATTTCCGCCTCTATCAGAAAGTCAGCCGCCGCTGCCAATTCTTTAGATATGCGACAGCAAACCTTTTATAACTCCAGTTTCCGAGGAGATTTTATACTAGTTGTCACAGATGATCAAGTAGCAAAGCGACACAACCTAAGCGCTCACTCGTAATCAGACCAAGAATAAGAAGTTGCATTAATCAACTCTTAGCACGTTGATCTGTCGACTGAGATTCGAGCTGGTCGGCTCGTGTAAAAAGCGTTGCTATGAGTTCGTCAGAAGAGTTTTTGCATGAAAGAGCGCGGGTGACGTGTTACACACACAAAAAAAAATCCTTAAATTTTATAGTACGCAACGATGATGACCACGTGATGGCATGAAGCTTCAGCTTATAATGAGGTCATTTTAAAATATAGCAATTTACAGAGATTATGGCTACAGCCAGCTACAAATATTATGAGAATGACAGCGGCCGACAGGGATGAAGCTTCCCACGCAGGACAGCCCGGTCAGTTTCAAGCACGCCGAACTAGACTTTGTCGCTCACAAAGGCTTATTGCATGCTTAACATGTAGGGTCGACAAGCTGTCGAACAAGAAATATCGCCGGTAGCAACGCCCTGACGAGAGAAATTGACTTCTTCGAACACTTCATCAGAGAAAAAAGCCCCCTAGTTGAATTGTTCACTCGAGTTACACCTTTCTTGGATGATTTCTGTTCTTTATCATCACAGAACGTGTTGCTTATTTGGACGTTTGACATTAGAAGTTTCATAGAGAACTCTTGTTTGGGTGTTCGGTGTTTCAAACCTTTTGTTTGAGGTCAGAAAGAGGGAAAGAGAGAGAAATGTTTAATGCAATGCTGGTAAAGTATTAGCTTGGCTATTTGTCTCACATGCTACTGCAGTTGCTATTGCAGTGATTGCTATGATATGTGCACTCATCATCCCTTAGCCCGTACAGCTACACACACACACACACACACACACACACACACACACACACACACACACACACACACACACACACACACACACACACACAGACTACACTCTTTACAAAGTCGCGTTCCGTCTCGTGGCCCGCAAGAAAGACATAAGTGAGTTTGTGGCATGTAATGCATGGTGCTTGCTTTGTTATACGGGCCGGATATGTCGCAACCCCGAGTTGGTGTTACATATATGCATACGCAAACTTCTTGGCACCTGTCTGCAGTGTCCTCTCTATCCTCCTTTGCCGTCGTGTGCTATACGCTTAGGTGTCTGCATAACTTGAAATATTTCTGAAGAGTCAACTATTATTCTTTGGGTAGCAGCGGTCTACAGCTGAAAAACCTAGCCTGCTGAACGCGCGTAGTGTAGGCGCTGGCAGGGTCTCTTATGAATACAATCCTGCACCGCAGTGTAGAACAGTATACTTGTGAAGTAGAGCCAAAATTCATGCGCCCATTTTACAACAGCATTTAGCACTCATAAACACATAAGACTGCGATGCAAGTGGCCAATTCCTGAAGAATAAGGACTTGATAGAACTATTCATAGTGGCACTTTTCAGCCTGAGTGAATACTCAAATTAAGCATAAGTCGCATTGTCTGCTGTAGGCAGCTTGTTTTGCTCGGATGGTGATGGCAACCAACAGGGTAAGATATTACACAGGCAGAGGAGGTCATTATAGGGTTAGCTCTCAAGCAATGCGCTTCTAACGTAATTATTACCAATTCTCGAAAAGCTTGCGCCAGCTACTTGGCAGGGGAAATGTCATAACTTGCCTACGAAATACTGCGTGCGAGCACGAGAATCGCCCCCCTCCCTTCTTAAACGCGTGGTATGGACTCCACGTTATAAGGGACTTCAAGGGAATGACCCGAGTGTTCATTCCCCGGGTACCTCATTCGAGCTTTGTGAACTGGATCCTGCAACCACCGTTGCTCAGGTACAAGGAAATTGTACAGTACTATTGCTCCCATCGTCGCCGGTCTCCACCCCCTGCCGAGGGTCTGGATAAGGCGGGAGAAAGATTTCTACGGCTGCTCGAAACAAACGCGTTGCTATGTTCGGTCATATTTTAATATTTTGACCCGAAAGTTACTGTGGGCAGACAGCCGATTCATTCCACATGGTGTGGGCTTGCCAGTTGACTTGGAGGCCACGCTGCTTAGCTGCTCCGATCTCGGGGTCCAACATGTCCTGATTACTTAAGCAAAAGTAGCAGTATTGTCCAATAACGTCCCGGACTCAGCACGTCACCTAGAACCTAACGAGCCCTTTGCGAGGACTCGTACGCTCTCTTGTATGATAATGTTTTACAGCGAAAGCTGCCATGAGATCAGAACATAGATCACGCGTGGTGCCGTAGTTGTCCGCTGCCACCGTGGCCGTTGTTCATAACTAGTATCAAAAACGCAGTAGATAAAAATCACTTATGATACAATGGGATTCGAATCCATATACGCTGCGTACGAGCCCAGCATTCCATCACTGAGCCACGCCACTGTTTGGAACTCATTTAAACTGGACTTAGGCAGGCTTGAGGTCGGGAAAGGAATCGTGTTATCATGAGTAATACAGAGTTTTAAAACATCAAAGGAACAGCAAGGCGTAACACAATGCGAATTGCATAACGAGTCGCTCGTTCGATGATCCAATTCATTAGAAAACGTGTTTTGATCGCTTAATAACTGTGGCGCATACCCTCTTCCGACCTAATTAATCATCGTCATCAACCACTGCATAAAAAATTCCACCAATTTCTAACAAGTGTGCAGCGGATACTACGCTTCTTAGTGATTGAGCCTATAAATATATATATATATATATATATATATATATATATATATATATATATATATATATATATATATATATATATATTGTCGCAGTGCAACGCGAACAGATGACAGCAGCTTACGGCAGCGAAAAGAGCGTATTCAGGATCAGCTGTACAGCAAGATGCCTGCTTCGTTGTCGTCCCGATCAACCACCTGACCCACTATCTGGAATCTACAAAACGTTCCTATCATCGTTCTTTTTCATATAAACACGTGTCACTTGCCCCTCCTTATAAGAGCATCGCCCCGATGCTGATTCAGACGCACAGTATATTTTTTTTAACGTGCAGTCAGTCACTCACATACGGCTTCATACGCACTACATGAACAAGTTCAGGCTGAGGCTGGCGACGCCTCGGGCATTGGGGACTGTCGGAGACAACCTCGTAGGTGACGTCACTTAGCTGGCGCAATACTCGGTATGGCCCGAAATATCGCCTTAGCAGCTTTTCGGACAGTCCACGTTTTCGTACGGGTGTCCAAACCCACACTCTGTCACCGATTTTGTACGTTACAGTTCTATGGCGAGCATTGTAGCGGCCTGCGTCGTAGTCTTGTCGCTGGTGGATCCGTAAGCGGGCGAGCTGTCTAGCTTCTTCCGCGCGTTCAGTGAACACGTCAGCGCCTGTGTCGGTAGCGTCCCATTCATGTGGCAACATCGCATCCAGCATAGTCCGTACCTCCCGTCCGTGAACCAAGCTGAATGGAGTCATGCGAGTCGTCTCTTGTTTAGCCGTATTGTATGCGAACGTGATATAGGGTAAAATCTCGTCCCAATTCTTATGTTGGACATCCACGGACATCGACAGCATGTCTTCAATCGTCTTGTTGAGGCGCTCCGTTAGTCCATTTGTTTGCGGGTGGTACGCAGTGGTCTTACGGTGAGTCGTTCCACTAAGCATCAGGACGTGGTCTAAAATAGCTGCCGTAAATGCTGTTCCGCGGTCCGTGATCACGATAGTCGGAGCACCGTGGCGTAGCACAATATTTTTTATGAAAAATCTCGCCACTTCCACTGCGGTGCTCTTTTGGATAGCTTTTGTTTCGGCATACCTGGTTAGGTAGTCTGTTGCGACTATAACCCAGTGATTCCCTGCAGTAGAAGTAGGAAGGGGTCCCAAAATATCCATTCCTATCTGTTCAAACGGTGTACGTGGAACCTGAACTGGTTGCAGCTGACCGGCGGGTCTCTTTGGAGGTGACTTGCGTCGCTGGCAATCGATGCAAGTGTGAACGTGGTGCTTGACGGCTGTTGTGAGTCGTGGCCAGTAGTATCCCTGCTGTACTCTTGCCAACGTGCGAGTGTAGCCTAAATGGCCAGACGTCGGCTCATTGTGACATGCTTGGAGCACTTCAGGTCGAAGGGGTGCAGGAATAACGAGCAAACAGGGAGCTCCGCTGGACGAAAAGTTTCTCTTGTAGAGGACGCCATTGCGTAAGCAAAACGACGATAATGTCCTTGCAAAGACTCTAGGTGCCCTCGAAGAACGTCCGTCCACGTAATTAATCAAATCAAGCAATTCAGGGTCACTTCGTTGTTGTTGAGCAATCGTGGACGCGTCGAGAACACCAAGGAAGGCCATATCGTCGTCGTCAGAAAGAGAAGCTGACTGTACTGGTGATCGAGACAGGCAGTCGGCGTCCGTATGGCGCTTCCCAGAACTGTGTATGACCGTCATATCAAACTCTTGTAACTTCAGACTCCACCGTGCTAATCGGCCGGTTGGATCTCTTAAATTAGTCAACCAACAGAGGGAATGATGGTCACTTATAACTTTGAAAAGGCGGCCATACAAGTACGGGCGAAATTTCA